TAACCAATAGGTCATGAACCTGGCCATGTCCTGCTGTTTTCTACTCATATCATATTATTGCCTTTTCCATTCTGCAGTCCTGTGTTCCTTTTTTTTTCTTTTCATTATTTAAACAATTTCTTTTACTGTTTCAATTTATCTTACCATTATAATTCAGCCATTCATTCACTCCAATTCCTTGTTGTGACTCTAAGGTCTGGCAGGAACTTTCCTGTTTTCTGCACCTGGTCCGCCGTCACCAACGGACTTTCCCGCCCTTCAGCATTTGGCAGCCGCCAAAGTTGAACAGAAACAGCGAACTTCATTGGCCAGACAAGGACCCATGGCGACCACCTAGTGGACAACGGCCTTTAAGAACGAGCAGCACCCATCTGCGCATGACTCCCTCGGTCTCTGACCAGGCCAAGGGACCTCACCTGAGAGCTTTTGCAGAATAAATTATATGGGTTTCGGCACCAGATGTTAGGTTTGATTTGGGAGTGGCGGAGAAGTCAGGGCGGCAAAGATGAAAATACAGAGTCAGGCTTTGGGGTTTAATAAAACCAATATAATTTATTCTGCAAAATCTCTCAGGGCCCCTGGTCAGAGGTCAAGGGAGTCACGCCCAGGGTGGGTGTTGCTCATTCTTAAAGGGCGGTTGTCCAGTAAGTGGTCACCATGGGTCCTTGTCTGGCCAATGAAGTTGGCAGTTTCTGTTCAACTTTGGCGGGCCCACTAAATGCTGAAGGGCGGGAAAGTCCGCTGGTGATGGCGGGCCAGATGCGGAAAACAGGAAAGTTCTGGGGGGTGGGGGATGTTTCTGCCATGTTTCTTTTCCCTTCCCCCAGACCTTACAGTGACAATCAAGTATCTTCCCCCTCCAGTTTTCAAAGCCCTAATTCTACCAGTTGGTCTGGCTTGCAAATATCTTCCTGACAGGGAAGAGGCTGGGATGGGGCTGAAGGCAGTCATGGGTACATTTTTCACGGTAGGGATTTTACACATATTTCTCTCTACCTGATTTTTCTTATTGTAAATTAGAATCCCTGCATTGAGCAAGATCACTTTTATAAAAGTTCATGAGGATCTGTCTTACTTAATATTAAAGAATGACTGTGACTGAGGTGTGACCAGTGTGGCGTGGCCACCAACGGTGTGCAAGAATGACATTTATCCTTAGTTGGAGCACATTTCAAATGTGGGCGGATGTTTGTTCCGAGAGCCCTCAGTTATTTGTCTGAAAGCTTTCCAATGCTGGAGGTTACTGTGAAGGAGGGGATGAGTGGAAGTGCTTCAGCATCCACTTCTAGTAAAAGCCAAGGAAGAGAGGGAAGCTTAAGATGTAGAATGTAGGGACCAGCAGGTGGCATGGTGGTTGGGGTGTTAAACTCCCACATGGCTGACCACGGTTCGAATCCAGGACCTAGCAGCTTGATAATCATGCTAGGCACAAGTGCATGTGTGTCCAGAATTCCAGGAGAAGAATGGAGGAGAAGTGATTGTGGTGTGGCCACCCTCTTGGGGGGTGATTTTAAACTTTCCCTCTCTGTCTCTCTATCTCTCTCTGGCAGGAACATGTGCCCTACGGCAAAATTCAAAAAAAAAATGTGGAATGTGTGTATGCACATGTATGTGTGTGTGGGAGTGGGGCTAACACTGTATCTCAAGTAGCAACCATATTCAGAAAGTTAAACCGAGCTGGGACGACCTCGCCCACCAACAGATTTCATCATGCCCATGTGGTCTGTTTTCAGACACAAAGTCTCTCTGTTATCTCCTCCTCCAGTGTCCCCCAGATCTCCATCTGGTCCTGCCCTGAAATTTCCAACCCTGGAATCATCCCTCTGGACTTGGCTCTAAAAGTCCAAGTTACCAGACAAAAGTAGAGACCAGTAGTCACATTGGCCATTCCCACCTTGATGCCAATTGGCTTGCCAGATGGAGCAGCCCAGAGTTGTCCGGTGGCCTCCTCAGTCATTAGCACCTCCCTGCTAAGTGGCCTATTAGACTAGGCAGCTGCTGGAGCTGGTTTTGCAGGAAGGAATGTGGCAGAAGCACCTCTAGAAGGGTGGAGGCAGCTCTTTGATGAGAGAGCCCACCCTGGTGGGCACTCTTGGAGAAACATCAAAAGGTAAGCGTGAGGGTGCTGCTTTCTACCCCTCAACAGACTTGATGATTTGATGCTTCCAGCATCCAGAGCAGAGCAAAGAAAAGCACAGCACTGACATCATTTGCAAAGATCGATTTCAAAGGAAGGAAAGATGAATGGGTGACTCTTGGGAGAGAGTGTCTCCCACAGGCTCCCCTCTTCACCAAACCTTTAGGTTCCAACACCAAAGGTTTCCTTTTTTCCTGTCTCACTGAGCCTCTCCTGTCCAATTCCACACACACACACACACACACACACACACACACACACATATATATATATATATATTAAAAAAAGACACTATTTTTAAGGTTTTTGCCATAGGGTACGTGTGTTAGCCTGAGACAGAGACAGAGAGAGGCATAGTGAAAAGTCACTCCCTAGGGAGGACAGCCACCCCACAATCCCTTCTTCTTTATTCTCTTTTGGGATATTGGGGCACATACATGCCCCTAGCCTGATTTTTCACACCACAAGGTCCAGGACTCTAACTGCAGTTGGCCATGTGAAAGTCCAGCACTGTAGCCACCACGCCACCTGCTGGCCCCTATCTATGTATTATATTTACGCCCAACTAAACTTGTCTTTACTCTCTGTTTTAAAGCCTTTGACAGAAATACGATTAATACGAACACATTTAGTCCTAACAAAATGAATAGTCTATACCAGTAAGACCACAAACCTGTATAATTCTGTCATGTCCCTGGTCTGTCCTCTCAAGGGAGGTGATTTGCTGAAAGTGCGTGAAACTTCTGGACCCCTCTTTGCTGGAGCCTTATCCAAAGACCCACACTTAATTTTTTTTTTTTCAAGGATCTTTTTGCCTTGAGGTGTGTGTAGTTGCTGGAGACAGAGAAAGACAGAGAGAGGGAAAATGTGAAATCACCCCCAGCAGGGATGGCTATGCCACAGTCTCTTCTCCATTCTCCTCCCGGAATTTTGGGCACACACACACACACAACCCTGGAGTGATTTTCAAGTTGCTGGATCCAAGACTTGAACCATGGTTGACCATGTGAGAGTCCAGCGCTTTAACCACCACGCCACCTGCTGGTCCCCCTTTGTACTTAACTTTGTGCTTATAATTTTGAGTCACTAAAGAAGCCTCCCTAGTTACCCACCCAACAAATTACTTACCTTGGGCCCCACAAAACCAGTGTTCACTTGATTAACAGCCTTGGCCACAACCCAAAAGGAGCACATAGCCAAGTGTGCATGAGGGTCTTCATTTTAATTGGGGAAAGCAAACTCTGTAAGTTCCGCTGGAATTTTCCCACAAAACTGGGATACCTAGCAACTTTACCTTATGAGCCATTTGAAAGCTCTTTGCTGGGCTGTTTCTCTTCCTTCTCATTCTCTATTCTCTTTTCTCTTTTATACTCGGGAACACTTTATTTGAAGATGGAGTTAAGCCTTCCTCTTCCTCCCCCCACGCACCCCACCCACATTTGTAGATGAATGGGGTCCTTTGATATGACACCAAAAGATGGGGGGTGGTTTCTACGGGAGTTATTCATGTGTTTTTGTTTATCTTTTCTTTTTAAAGTTATTATCATTCTTAGGCTCCCATTTGAGTCTGTTTTGGAAAAGTCAATCGATAGGAAATGACTCTTGACCAGTCCAGTTCAAAGTGCTGTGGCATTCCGATGGTTAACGACTGAATGAGTCTCAAACACAAACTTTCTGGAAACCCAAGTGACCTTTTCCAGAATGATATACCATCTTTGGGAGAGGGAGGTCCATGGTAACTCCTAGGATGATTATTACTATTATTGAACAAGTATGGGTGCGGGTGTACTTCCCCATCCACAGCCTGTCGGCCCCGAATGAGGGGAGAAAAACCTGTATTTGAAGACTCTCCATAGTCTCAGTACATGTTCTCCCTCTCCCCCTTGCATCTATAATTCATCTTTATTCATAACGTGCTTCATTTAAAGCAGCACCTCTCAGCTGTGCGCGCGACGCACTGGAAGAGCCAGCCCTTGGAGCAGACAGAATGTGGAACGTCGTCTGCTGCAGGACGTTTCCACCGGGGTGGGGGGAGAGGCTCACGACATTGTCCACGAGACCCACCAGCGCCTCTAACCCAATCTCCCAAGCTTGGCTAGTCCGGGCAGGCAGCGTGGGTGGGAGCATTTGGGTGGCATACCCCAAAAACCACAGTAATTGGAAGGGGAAAGAAGCAAATATCAATTAGTGATTCCTCAGCCAGCTACCAATCTTGGTTTCCAAGGGACTCCACCTTGGTCTCTGCAGAAGCAGCAGCTTCCCAGGGCCCTCCGACAGCAGCGACACGCATGCACTTCCATCTCGTTGTATTGAACGTTTCCCCGGGGAGCCCTTGTTATCTGCCGGCTTCCCCGGTTCTTGGCCTCCCTTGTCGGCCTGTCAACTTAGAATGCTCCCAGCTTCTCAGCGCTTCCGTGGGAATGCGAGCAGGAAAAGGCTTTGAGTACCGAGGCCCTGAGCCACGGAGCTCTTCTGCAGCTCTCCGGACACCCCCCCCGCCCCCCCACTTCCCCAAGTACCGAGGATGCTGAAATGAACGTCCCTGCTCCCTCATCCCTAGGGTTCTGGCAGGATGGCTACATGTTAGCAAATCATGCGTGGTGGGGAAGCACAAGGTGGGGAAGGCGGGGGACCGGCGGAGAACCCCCACACCCAGCGGCCCCCCGCAGACGCGGCGGGGGGGAGGGGCAGCCGGGGCTCGCCGGAGCTCGCTGGGCCGGGCGCCTCCCAGGAAGGCGGGGAGGGGAGCGCTGTTTACCCAGGAGGGGTGTGCTGATAGCACGTTCCTGGAGTTTACTTTGCTTTCCTTGAGTTTATTGTAAAGGGGTAAAGTTTTCGGATCCGTCACGTGACCCTGACAGGTCCTGCCTATGGCGCGGCAGACCACCCACGCCGAGGGCCATGGAACTGCTTAATAGAAACAGGCTTGTAATTGTGAGTCCGCGCTGCACTCCGCCGAAAGCCTCCGGCGGCCCAGCGCGCCGGGGTTTTTACACTTTCCGTTCCTTTTGTAAAGACGGAGGAGGAGGAGAAGACGAAGACGAGGAAGAAGAAAAAGACGACGACAGGGAAGACAAAGAGACCCGCAGCGACAAGGCAAGGGGGAGACGAGGGAAGACGGGGAGAAGACGAGAAGCCAGGACGAGGAAAGGGGGGCCAGGAAAAAAAAAGGAATTGATGTGAAAGCCAAGCCCAGCGTCCGCGCCATCG